TCAACATTAGTGGCATTACAGCAGAAATATATTTGATAAAATATATAAAGTGTGGTTTTCACAAATGCTTACTTATTTATCTTTTTGTAAATTATATTTTGTATTTTACATGTTATTATATGGATTACCCTCATAAGTTACAGTCATTAAAATTATTCAAAATCACTAGTTGTCTGCATGTTGGAATCAATTATATTATTAATATGCACAGGGTGAGCTGTCTTTTATGCTCACTATTCTTTATGTTATTCCACATTGTGCACAACTTAAAAGGAATTACAAAATAACTTTTCATTTATTATAAAAAGAAAAATACTTTTCTTCATTACATTGACATTGAAATGATTAAAAATGGGTAGGAATATAAAAATCACTTCCAGAGATCATTGAAATATCAAAATGCAGTACACATTCAAACACACACTTGCACAAATATTTCTGCCCATTATCATCCACTATTGATTTTCATGTTCAAGGGAAGGCCAAAGACACAATTGCTTTAAAATTATACAAGTAGGAGTTTTTCATTCAACCTCAAATTTCCTGCCTACATGACCCCAAACTTGAACTAGAGGTTATTAGAGCATTCTTTAGAAATTTACAAAAGATTTAGAAAATAATGAATCATTATGCCTGAGAAGAACATTTTATAAAAATAACCCTCTATTGACTTTATTTGAAATTTAAATTATTTCCAGTTCTTTCATGTGTATGAACCTTTAATGAGTCACTATGGAGTCTAGAAATCAGATGATGGGTGATGTACCTGATAAAAGCTAGAGAGATGATATTGACCTCTTTTAAAATAGTATATCCATGATTTGTGCATAAGTGGGCATGTTTGTGTCTATATAATTTACCTAATATACTTAAAAGAGTTCAGGAATTCATACTAAATTTGGCCAGACAATTCAACAAATCTCTCTGTTAATCTGCTTTTGAAAGATTTCAAATAGTGGCTCAAGAGTCAAACCTTACATGATAGTAAAATGAAGTCACTCACTGATAGGCTAGAGAAAAAGTTTTAGGCAGGGTATAAAGTTAAAATTTTAATTGGTGATACCATAAAAACTGATATAATCACATAAAAACATAGGAAACACTTGGGAAATATCATTGGAAAATTAATATTTGCCAGATGAGAGAATCCAGCTGATTATAAATAGAATGATAAAGTCATGTAACAAGATTTCTCTAAATTATTGACCAAAGCCAACTGTGAATCTATCTACAGCCTCACCCATTTTCTACTCATTTCTTCCAGACTCAAAATAAAAGGTATCTTACTTCTATATTTTCATTTTTCATTATATGTTAGTGTATATTTATACTTCAAGTCATTATAATCTGAATTTTACACAGGTTACTTAAGTGATACAGTTCAACCTTAATGTCTCTTGTAAGCTCATAATTATCCAATTCAGAATATAGCAAGGTTCATACCATATCAAATTTCTGCTAGTATTTGCTACTCTGGAAGCTCAAATTCACATTACAAATCCTGAAATTATCTGTAATTCCTTTTACCTGTGTGTACCGGTATGCCATGATGATTTTGCTTCAAACATGACCTAACTATATAGCTGTCCTTTCATTTCATTGTTCTTTCTACCTGCCTCCATCCTTCTGTCAACTTTCTTACTCTCTTGCCAGCCTGCTTACTTCTCAATGTCAGCTCAAATTTGTTTTACAGACCAGGTTTTTAATGACACATCCATAGTTCTCCATGCTCTGTCTCCACCTGCTTTAGTATATGGTCCACTAAAACTACACATATTATACTCACATATATCCATCTTTCCCATAAATAATAAGGGGCTTCAGTGAAGGTGATTATTTTAAGTTGCTGAGATCAGTTCTAAACAACCTGATGAAACTGATGCTATGGTAGGTCTGTTAGTATTACAAGTATAACATAGTGTGAAATATAGCCAAAATTCTGTATGTACCTATTGAATAAATTTATGAAAGCAATATAAAACAATTTTGAAATGTCAGTAAACAATATTAAGTTAAATTTCTAAAGTTTTAATAAGTTGGTACAAAAGACATGATAAAGGGTCAACATCAGGGGAAAGTGAGAGTATAACTGTCTAGGAAAACTTACTGAAGTAATTTTAGGTGAGACAATGTTTAAGTTAATTGTATAAGGAAGAAACAATCCACTGGCATTACATGTGTATAACTTCATAAAATTACAAACAATGTTAAGATAACAGTATTTATAAATATGATTTATTTGATACTCAGGTCTGCAACTGCAGGTCAGCTGTGACTCTGTTTCTTATGTTTACAATCTGGTGTCCAGGATAAAATCGTCCCTATTTAAGTCATGTAGTTTCATGGCAGAAGAGAAGAGCAAGAGAGTCTGAAGAAAACATGAAGTGTCATGAAGTCTGAGTTAAGCCACTCTTCATGTTATACTTGCTTAACTGCCATTGGTCAGACCAAGCCACACAATCAGTTAGGAGGGAACGCATGGAACTCCCATTAGAAGATATTCAATCTTCTTCAAGGGACATGGAGAATTTTTGTGAAAAATTTTACATAGGAACTGAGGAATACAGTAAGAAAATCATAGAGTCAAGACAAAAATAGGATCTACAACATTTAGTAATGTTAGTACTGCAGATGCTATGTAATATCTGTTAGATCTAGCAAGGATATCATTTAGCTAACTGCATTTTACAAAAGATTCTGAATTGAAAGGATGGAACATGAGAGGAAAATGTGAAAAGGTCAGACAAAGAAATTAAGAACAGATCTTGCAGAGTCAAGATTTGTCAAGGAAGCAGAGTATATAGTCACAGTTGTTTTGAGCATTTGGTCAAGAGGTCAATACACTTGAGGGGGAAGGAGAGTATTGGAAGAGTACCAGGATAATGCCAAATCTGTAAAGATAAAATTAGTATCAATTTAGTGAGAAAGCTTGGAATATGAATTGAGGGGAAAGTCACAGAACAAGAGTCAAATTTTATAGTTGAAGAAAGATAAACTAACACCAAAAAAGTAGTACATTTTACTTATTTATATATTTTGTATTTCAAACTTTACACTGAAAAATCTTCAAGAGGTTTCATGAAAGAAAAATAAGGAAAAACTTTCTGAGTACCCCAATACTTAAAAGGAGTCACTAAGCAGGACAAGAGTCCCTTAGACTGGAACACAATAATTTTCCTGTGGAATCAAGAGGAAATGAGAGAGAAAAGCAGAGTTGTCTTACTGGCATTCATTAATGTGCCCTTGACAGTGTTCCAATGCATCATCCAGGGGGCATCAGCTAATGGTGAATTTTTTTTCTAATGGTAAATTTTGTGAAAACTATTGTTTTTAAGAAAAGAGTTATAAGGATGCTATTGTGTAATAGTTTTTGTCCAAGAGAAAATGTAACTAATTGGCAATGTTTCAGCAAAGAAGGTTAGATTAGAATCTGTGGTTGATTCTGTTAAAATCAGATGAAGAACTGCATTTGGAGGATCAGATGGACAGATAAAAAATCACATTATCAATATGACTTTTTCAAGTGGCACAAGAAAAGGCATTCCAGCATTTATCTTATAGATTCTAAAGTATATATATATATATATATATATATATATATATATATATATATATATATATATATTATATATAGAATTAAATAGTCCAGTTTGAACAGAGACCATGGTGGACTGGAAGATTCAAACATGTGTTATTCAGATACACACTGGTACCCAGATACTCATTCCATGAAAATGAATAAAATCACAAGCATACAAACACTCACAGATTAAAGTAGGAAAACAGATGAGAACACACAATAAATGTATTAAAGTTTTCTAGAAATCATAATATATGAAAGAATAATAAGGAATTAGTGTACTATGCCTGCCACATGACATTTCTTTTTAAATATCATACTCAAATTAATGTTTCAGTAGAAAATCTACATATAAACAGTTACAAATACATGTGTGTATGTAATCACAAATCACAATCATGTTATGGTAAATACTTACGACATATTACTTCTTATGAACTTAGCATATTTAAAAAAACTTCACATATATTAATTTATATTATAATCTTCAAGCTGACAGGAGAATATTGAGTACAAAGACTTGCCCATCATGAAATACTCTTACATAACTTTCCTTTTAGGAACCAAAGTATACTGCATAGTTGAATGGATAAGCTAAATAGCTACTGTATGTTACCTTTTCTTATTATATATAATAAATATAATAGGAAATGTATATAGAAAATATATAGAGAAAAAAATACAGATACAGACAGATGCATTCATTTTAAAACTTATCCTCTGTACACTGAAAACCTCCTCCTGCACCTTAAGTAAATTCTCCCCTGACTATGTCAACCTTAGTATTACTGGGCTCTGCATTCCTAAAAAGGCCTCAGAAAAGCTAGATCTTCTCTAAATCTTGGTTTCATATGGCTAAAGTATAGGTTGTTCATGACAGAATATTTAAAGAAGGGGTCAACCACATAAGATTTTCTATACCTCAAAGTCATTTTGATTTTGTCTAAAAGGTATTACGAAGCACTGAAAAATTACTAGGATTGAAAGGAATAAAGTGAGAGAAGAATGCTCAAAGGAGAAGATAACTTCCTGATTTTATAAACTAGCTATTAATGTCCATTAATATTGAAAAGTAACCTTATGAATTCAATTAAAGTCAAATAAGCTAATATCAACAATAAGTAATTCATCTAACCGCAAAGTAAAATCTGATACTTTGTTTCATTTGACAAAATTTTTTGAAAAACTACAAACATTGACAAAAGACAATTAAAGACTCTGAAAAGTTATGTGAGGGGGAGAGCATTAATAACTCAGAGACACTGTTCTTAATACTTTTATATAACAGATGTTACCAGAGAGGTGGGGGGATTTCTTCTTGACGTAGAAGATATTTACTAAGGGACAAGGTGAGTTTTGAGTTTAATAAGTGTATTGTTAAAATGAACAACAGAATATGTACAAATTATTTACTGCTTACCATTAACAATAACGATGATATCACGGAAGTCAATTTCTCCCCTGGCTTCCACTCTTCCTTCACATCTATATATACCTTCATCACTTTTATTGATGTTGAGAATCTGCAGATTATTGTTAGCTAACATGGCAAAACGACCTGGAGAGTAAGCAAAGGGGAGGAAATGACATCAGTAATTGAAGGCTGAGTCCAGTATGCTCAAAATTGCTAAGAGTTAAAATATGGCACTTGTCTGACACTATCAAACTTTTCATCAACAAACAAATTCAAATTTGAAAGTAAAATGTAATTTCATAACTTCAATTTTTCCACTCTACACTGACTTGTTATACCTTTTTTTTTCCTGAAATACATTCAAGACTTCATATCCACATAAAATGGTTAGGTTATTATTTTCTTGTTGGTGCTTTGAATGCAGAAATGACATAAAAAAAGAAAAATGCAAGGATATTAGATATTGTAGCCTTGAAAACTTTTGACTGCAAATATGTAGCAACTTGTGTATAGAAAATGGAGGAAATTTTATTGAACATCCTTTCTCAACAATAATTAAATTAATAATTCTACATATCCTGAGGAGGCAGCTAAGTGATATAATAATGTTCAAATCACATAAAGTATATAAAAAATACTTGTAACAAATTTATTTAAGTTTTTTTTAGGGAAACACAAGGTAATCTTCTTTAGGAATTAATAGATTTGCTTTTAATATTTTTTAAGATTCTATTTTATGTGTGTACACATGAATATATGCAAAAATAATCTGACATACAGCATGCATTAACTGATAGCTTAGAATAACATTTTATAGCAATCTGAGATGCCAAACAGCATCTCTGCTTGACATTATTTTCTAAGTCTAGTCTCATTTATAATGATCACAATTTTGTTGCAGTGCTAAAACCTATTCCCTTCTTATCTTGTAAAGAATTATCTTACATCTAGTCATTTTAAAACACGTTGTACAGGAAATATCATAAATTTTAATTAATGCATCCATATTTATTGTTAAACTTCTTTTTTTGGCCTTGGATATAGTATATATAGTATTAAAGATACATTGGTTACTGAGATTCAGTCTTTTATCTACTTTGAATATTTTGACCAAGTAGAATTGCCATTATTTTAGGGTACCAGTACCTAGGATGTTTACAGTCTGGAGATTGCTTTTGTAATGCTGTTCAATTTTACTGCTTTTCCTCTATCTGCTGGTATGATAGAGATTGATATGTTATGATATGATAGGGACATCTCAAAACCCATTTGTAAAAAAGATAGAGAGCTTCATCACCTGGATTGCTTACTAGATTCACTTTGTAGAATCTTGCTGCTACTCCTGCTGCCAACTGGACATGCTGTGAGTAAGAAATAGTCTGCTATGGTAATAGGCCATTCAGATTTTGGGTTTAGTTTGCCAGAGCAATTCCTTGGTAAGATGGGAGAAAGTTTAAGCTGGGAATCACAGAGGGATTCATCAGGCAATAGACAGCCTTAAAGCAGGCAGAAAAGTGGTTAACTCTCTGATAGGGAGTGGAACTCTGTAGATTCAGAGGCTGCCACAGAATGAAAATACTGATTACAAAGCCCAGACACATGACTTTCATCCCAGGATTTAAAAGCTTTTCCCTAATGTCTATGTCTTCTTTCGGTTGACTCTAAGAAGAGAGATAAAAATGTTTATGTAAACCTTTCCCTAAAAAATAAATCACAGACTTGAACTTTTGCCACCAAAGGAAAGACTGGGAAGTAAGAAAGGTAATCTGTTAGAAGTTTCAAAGTTTAACACATAAGAAGTTCTGGAGTAACTCAGAATTCATAAAATTTATGAAATTTCAAAAACAATTAATTTTTTTATCAAATTTTGTGGTTGGAAGTTAGAAAAATATATTTTAATAATGTTCAGAATTAGGAAGGATGTTCTTAATCATACATAGATCATTGCAATATTATATTTTAACTTGCTAAAATATGTATCCTCTTTTACCTCTATACTCTCTAGTTATTATGTGTTATTTGAATTAAGAAAAAAGAGTAAGGGTGAGTATTATTTTAATAAGGAAGGCAGTGTTTATATAAAAAAGAATTAGAATCACATAATACTCATATTTAATGGCAAACGTGTTTCTTCTAATTGGAAAATTTTAGTCCCAAATGGCCTTTTTAAACCATTACTTTTACTAACTCTAAAAACTTTAGGAAAACAATAATTACCTGGTAAAGCTAAACACTATTATACATGCTTATGTCTACAAATTTTTTTTTCAACACTGAAAAAAGTTATGTGAAGATTGTGTCAAATTCCAAATATATTTTCAAAGCCTCATGATGGTTCTTAGTAAACTAGAGAAGCAATGCATTACCCTTATGTGTTTCCAGAAAATATCTAAAGAAAGCAATGCTTCAGTCACCCCCCTAACTATAGGTTTTAGAAATATTCACTATTACCAATTATGTTTTTATCAGTTACATAGAAACTAAATTTTAATTATCAATGTGAGAAAGATAAATTGAATAAGAAAATACCCAACAAATTTTCTGCTTTATACTTCTTTAAACAAGTTATTTCTAAAGCCTTTCTTTCTTACTAAATCTTATTCTATGCCTACTCAATGGTTTGTCTCATCTATCCTTATGACCAATCATCATATATATTTTGATGACTTACAGATTTTCTTCAGATTAAAATGTTTCTGTCTTCCATAACTATCTTTTTTTTTTTGGGGGGGGGGCGGGGGGAGGGATTGTTCATGAAATTAAGCCCAGGGGTGATTAGCAAACTGAGCCACATCCCCAACCCTTCTTATCTTTTATTTTGAGAAAGGGTCTCACTAAACTGCATAGGGCCTTTCTAAGCTGCTGAAGCTGACCACAAACTTGTGATCCTCCTGTCTCAGCCTCCCCAGCTGCTAGGATTACAGGCCTTTACAAACTCTATCCATCCAGATGTACTACTCAGAATGGTTATAAGTACAACAATCAGCATATCTGACATTTAGCTTAGCATCTGTGCCTGCTTTTCTATGTCTTCACATGTCTTTACAATTCTTTATAGGAAACTAGTTGCTCAAGATAAATTCCATAAGTTATAGAACACTTTGTTCAAGGCAAATTCCAAGTTACCCTCGACATATCCTTAACTCTGCATAATCAAAAATACTCTATATCCTATTATTTATGTCTTTAGTCCAAAATCTTGCTTTCCCTTGGCAATTATTTCATTTAATTCTGAGCTGATCTTAGGGCCTGGAATTTTTTCCTTGAATCCCATCCAACTGAAACACTAATATCCTTTTCAAATACACATTAGATCATGTCATTGCCTTCATTAAAACACTTCAGTTATTTCCCCTTTGAATAAATTCCAAACTCCTTAGCAGTGATGTCAAAACCATATTGACCAGACTTGGCATTCCTCTCTACCTTTTTTCTTATTAGTCCTTGATTAACAAATACTTGTTAGAGTCTGTAAACAAGTCTGGATGGCGCCTGGCATTTTGCCAGAGGGAGTGGTTAAGTAATGCCAGAGAGCCATTAAGTGTGGAGATTCCTTATTGTTTGACTGATGTATCTAGTTTATGTTAATTAGATAAGCTGTGTGGAATGTATATATACTGCTCCTGTCCTACAATAAACGGCTCCCACTCCTGCTGTATCAATGTACACAAGTTGCTCGTCACCCCCTGGTTATTTTGCTGCAGCCAGACTGAGGCAAATACTGGTTTTAATTATCTACTTGTACAAATATTCAACTTGTACTTTTTCAAAAGTTCTAGTTATAATAAACTATACCAGTGTCTGAAGTATGTCATCCATGTTGTTTTCACCTCTGGGCTATTGCACATGGTGTTCTCTGTTTATTAAATTCTCATCACCTAAGTGCTATTTATATTTAAAGGTAAATATTTTTCTCCTTGCAAACATCTTTGACACCTTTCTTTTCCCTAGCTCTTTCAGTGTTCTTTTTTTTTTCTCTGTTACCACTTTCCTTCCCAAAAACACAATATACTATTTTTCACTGATTCATCTATTTACCCCTTTGAAGACTATAAGTATTTGAAGGGAGTGAACTTTTTTTATCTTGTTTACTATGAATCAATGCATCTAGAACTCAAGCAGGAATACACAGGGTAATCCATAACTGTTAAATGAATCTTTTATACCAGAAGTAGATTAATATTTTAATGAAGAATATGAGTCTATTAATTATTTGTGATACAGGAAGAATACTTTAACCAAAGACTTTTCAAAGTTTATAAGATCATTTTCACACTGGCCTGTGTTCAATGAGCATATGTATCTCTCTCCTTCTGGGTGACAATAAAAGTCAGGTTATTCAACTTTTATAACAAAATGTCACTCTTTGTTCTTACATGCTTTTCTTATTTAGCATATATATCTCCCTTCAATGAGTAACATGGACAAACTCCATTCAAATTATTCTTCAAAAGTCCTGATTCGGATTATCTACCACATAGCTACTATAAAAGCATAAGGGATAAATTGAACATTTCCAAACCATGTACTGTCTGATCTCCTACATATAAACTTTACTATCTATCACATTAAAGATATGGAAAGGGAAGTATTTAAAAAATACTCAATTTTTTAAAAATCTAGACAAATTATGTTCAGTGTTATAAACCTAATCATATCCCAGTAGCTATAAAATGAAAGGGACTAAATAAGGTAATTTTAGTCACTTTTTTGCTACTGTGACCAATGATTTGACAAGAACAATTTTAGTGGAGGAAACATTTATTTGGGGGCTCATGGTTTCAGAGGTCTTAGTCCACAGATGTCCAGCTCCATTGCCTTGGGTCCAAAGTATGACAGAACCCATGGTAGAAGACAGTACAGGGGGAAAGATGCTCAGGAAATGGCACCAGGAAGCAAAGAGAGATTCCCCTCACCATGGACAGAATACATAACCCAAAGAACACACCCCACCTGCCTACAGTTACCAATTAGTTAATCCCTATCAGTGGATTAATTAAGCCATTGGTTAAGGCTCTTCTAACCCAATCATTTCTCCTCTGAACCTTCTTGTATATTCACACACGTGATCTTTTGGGGGACACCTTACATCCAAACCATCACGGACTCTCATAACTCAATCATTCCACTTCTAAATCTTCTTGAATTGTCTCACACATGAGCTTCTGGGGGATACCTCATAGGTAAACCATAACAGATACCTCTTGTGAAACCGTGATAAATGTACAAATTGTTCAGCAATGAAGTATATGTCAAGATCTTTCATTGTAACAAGGTTAGAAAAGTTTGGCCTTCCTCATACGTTTACTTTCTTTAGTTGCCTGCTATGCACCTTAGCTCATTCATATTTAACTTTAGTCACTCCCCTAAATTGAACTTTCTATTTCAAGTTATAGTCTAATGGCATATAATTTGGGTAAAATTGATTCTAAAAATTTAAAAACTCATTAAGAAGGAATAAGAAAGATAAATATATAAATTTCATCTATTGAGAGACTGACATCTACCTCAATAGTTTATTCATTTCAATACGACTAATATGTTATTTATAAATTACAACGATTGTTTGAAACAGATATAATACTCCATTTTTGAAAGATTAAGAATGTGATTTCAGAGCACAACAGCTAGAAAAACTTTTCATTATTTCAGGGCCAAGAAAAAGAGTAGAACCAAAATGAACTTCCAAGTTTACATCATTCAGTTTTGGATTACTGGGAAAAATTATCTGTTAAATCATAGAAATATTACTTCTCCATCACCACTACACTTTGTTATTAATCTTTGTTTTGATGTATTGTTTCAAGTGTCTTCTTTAAAAATATAATTTTTAAAAAAACCTTCTTGTAATTAAAATGTGTAATAAACCAGATGTATATGTGAGCAATATTAGATAATGTGAAAATATTTAGATATTATCATTTAGCTGTAATAAAATTACTTCCTTTTCTGTATGATTGAGAGGCAGAAAAAAAACAAAAATATATCACACACAAGTACTCATATAATTTGTTAATAAAATCTAAAGCAGTTACTCAAATAAAATATGAGATAATTAAGTAGTATTCCTCATTAGCTTTTAGAAACAATGAGTTTTCATTAATAACTGACTAGTGTTGACCATATTAAGGTCTGAAAAATTAAATTTAAAAAAATGACTATTGTATATGATTATGATATGTTCTATTTACATATTCAAAAATAGAAATTGTCTACCTTCTGTCTTTTATGCTATAGAAATTTCATCTCTAAGAAACACAAAACAGAATCATGCAAGATGAAAAATACTTAAAAAGATTCAATTATTTTGTTCCTCTCTGCAATGCAGGTGCATTGAAAAATATTCTAAATTGAAAATGATCCCTATGCACAATGATAAAGGAGCATAATGTAAGCAAATTATGCTTTCAATTACAGATGTCATATCATTCTGGAATTTTAGCTCAATCTGAATCAAAATCATGAAGACAATTTGAGTGAATTTACACTTCTTTCAATTATTCTATATGTCTTATCATAGTATTTAGAACTTTTATGTGTCTTTTAAAGAACAGCTTCAGAATAATAAACAGAATTCACATATAAATTATTATCAGTTTTCTTTGTTTGTTACCAGGGATTGAATTCAGGGGTGCTTATCAACCAAGCCACATCCTGAGCTCTTTTTATCTTTTATTTAGACAAAGTCTCAATGGGCTGCTTAGGATCTCACTGCTGATGCTGGCTTTGAACTTGTGACCCTCTTGTCTCAGCCTCCATATATAAATTATTTTAATTTATTTTGAATTATAAAAAGTTGAATTTATGAATCTGTAGCTGTTCTATATTCATTTCTTAAAAATACATTAAATTTTCCCTAAAAGTAGAAAAAGTGTAAACAAACTTTTTGTTTCATATAGTAAACTGCAGAAAGCTTCCTAAGATAAACCAGTTGCCAAACATATTCAACTCTAGGATCAAAGCATCCATAGCAATATGTAATTGTTGGTCATGACTATGTTCTTATAACATGTTATAGAAACAAAAGAAGTGTCAAATTTGACCTAAAGTTCATAGTGCCCCAAATTACAGTGTCTAATTTTAAGATTCTAAAAGGAGTTGTTTGACATTTGGGGTCAAAAATTACATTTTTTAATCAGCCACATATATTCAGTAATTTAAAAAACTTGCAATGGTTTTAGAACGTATAACTTAGGGAGTTACCAAAATACTAACTGTCGGAAATTGCAGTGACTTCCTCATTATGATACAACCAGGTGACGGCAGGTGCAGGTGAACTGCTAACACGGCAAATGACCTCTGCATCTTCCCCTTGTTTGAATTCTTGAGGAGAAACCACTTCTCTGAAAGTGAGTTTTTCTGAATCAAGAAAATAACACAGATCATAACAGAATGATCACTTATTTATCCTTAAAAAAACAACATATATTCTAAAATAGATGTTAATTGATGTTATGTTGTATGATCCCTAGGTAAGCCTAGGTCTTTTTAAAACATCAAGCCAAATTAACAGATTCCTTTCCTAGTAACTTTCCATCTCACTGAGAATTGCAAAGTCCTCCCAGTGCCATAGAAGGTCCTATGTGATCTGGAGTCCAATCTACAACTCTGATCCTAATTTCTCCTCTTTCCAGTATTGTGCTCCAGTAACAGTGTCTTCCTTTAACATTCCAGATTCGCTTTTGAACAGGGCATTTGCCCTCCCCCAATTCATGAAGAGTTCTGACCAAACTCTTTAGTAAAAACAATAGACCTTTCCACATAAACATTTGCCATCTCTGCCTAATTTATTTTCTATAAAATCGTATAGCAGGCAAATACACCACCTGTAATTTTTAGATGATTTATTATGTAAATAATAGAACTGACTTAGAACAGTACTGGGTAGACTTCAATAAATATGTTTAATGAAAGAATTAAGAAGAATCTTTGTGCTTATATGTTTTCTACAAAAGCAATGTTTTTTTTTTTTTTAAACACCACAATTGAGTTTTTTACATTCACAATAAAACACTAGGGATCTTCTAGTGTATCATTTAAAATAGTAAAATGATCACTCAATTTCATTGTTTGCTGTGTATTAAATAGTTACCAATAGTGAATCACATAAATAAGGAAGATAACTTTTCTGGAAATGCATAATGCAAAAGGGGGGCAGGGAGCTAAATCAGGATAAATGAAACCAATAATGTATTAACAAATTTCCCTGGTTACCAAACCAAAAGTCTTACTATGGGAATGATCTGATATTCTTTTACATTTCCTATTTCTAGAATAACAATAACTTAAGATGGTATAAAGAAGTGAGAGCTTGTACAAATTTTTACTCAGAATATTTATATAAGTTTTCACTGGTAAAAAATTAACTGCCCCACATTAATAGTGAAATTGTTCTAAATATTTCATGCAATATCAGTTAATGTTGTCCTCAGAACAACTCTGTGTATGATGTAGGTCCTATTACACGTATTTATAGTAGAGGACACTGAAGGCAGAGAGGTTAGGCAATCTGTTCAAGGTCATAAAAGTACTTGATAGGGCTGGTTTCAAATTTAGGGAGTTAACAGGCTTCACAGTGAACCTTAACAGTTTAATGATTTCTAAATATATACAAGAAAAAGGGACAGGACACAATCCATCTTAAGTGTAAAATGAAGTGTAAATACGGAAAATCCTGTTAATGAAAACATCTATTATTCATGAGTCCTGACAACATATGATTTTCTTCTAGTTGAGTTGTTAGCTCTGTCTCTGTCTACTTCTGTTCATTGACTGTCATCCCAGTTCTCACTCTAGAATGGTCAGTGCTATAACTTTCTGCAATATACTTGGTTCTAATTGTGACCTTTATTTTAAACTGAAAATGTACAACAAATATATTTCATAACACCAACTAACCACTGTATTTTATTTACCCAATTATTTTCTAGTGTACTGAGATTGTTGAAGCACATTTTAAAATATGATTTAACTAAGATAATTGGCTCCATTTATGTTTATAACTACCTATAATCCATTATCAATTCTCAGATGCACTAAAGTAAAACACAAATAAGCTGATGTCTACATAGGTTGTAAAACATTGCACAGTATATAGGTTGTTCGTGAGTGTTAGTTTGAATTACTAACATTTTATTTTGCTTGAATTCTTTATAAGTCTTCTATCAACTGAAACTTACAAATACATGACTTACGGTAAATTTCCAAAACTACCGTAGCTTCCTGTGTCTGTCCTTTGGCATCTGCTGCTTGACAGCGATATATCCCTGCATCTTCTATGTTAGCGTTGTAGATGGTTAATCTTGACCTAACGCCTTCTTTCTGTACCACTACCCTCTGGGTTGAAATTATCTTCTCTCCTTGAGGGTTATACCAATCTATACTCTCAGGTTCACCAATTGCTGCAAAAAGCAAAGGAAAAGAAGCATTTGGAAATATGTTTTAAATGTTTGTTTTGGCAGTGGCATTTACTATTCTGCATCAGTTATAACAATTTAGAAAAATGTAAATAGAAAACTGGAAATCTGAGTATTGTACAAAATTGAAAGTAAACACAAATGTTAACACACATGTTCGTTTTTGTTTCTTCAAATTAAAGACTAAATCCTGTTCCAGTAAGCAAAATCTAAAAGTTATGTAGGAAATTTACTATGTAGTACTGAAGCAAGGAGAGTTGAAATTTTACATTAATGATCTGTGGATTATCACTGCACTTAAATACGAAAATTTTATAAGCAAGACATAAACTCCATGTGATAGATAATATTTGATCAGAAATATGAATACTAATAAGATCTTCACATGCTTGACTCTTTTTGCTTAGGGACAGGGATAGCACTATTTTTCCTGATAAAGCACAAATTAGGAAAATGTAAGTAATTTACAAAACAAATTTTTACCATTGACAATTCTTAATTTGAATAAATTTCTCAAGTTGTTAAACTCATACAGATAAGGCAAATAAACACTTTAAAAATGAAGCCCTTATATCTTTCCCCAACTGATATGAGTAGTTTTATCATTTTAATCTGAAATTATTAACTATTAAATTATGATAATTAGAATGTATTGAAGTGATACTTATCCTGCTAGGCAATTACAACCAAATCATTAGTGTGTAAATATTTATTTAAGTTTTCCAATTCAGAATCTAGGTTACTAACCACTTTTTAATATCTAGAAATACCTGCATTTTTTTTAGTCATCAAAAGGACGTATTTGACTCAATTACATAAGAAATAATTTGGGGAAGCAACATACTTTATTAACTCAAAAGCATTGGGAGAAAATGACTGTAGCTAACTAATATCTTCAGGACCTCTTCAAAAAAGAAAATTTTTCTTTTCTTTTTGTCCCTAAGAAATGATTTTTAAAAAATAGCATCTTTTTTTTTTAAATTACAAACTAGATAGGATTTAGCAAAATTTTGAAAATTTAGGTAGAATTTCAAATGGATCATAGTTTTATTATCTTCACTTTTTATGAACGGAAATACAAAACCAAAATAGTTATAGAATAATGAATTTAGGGGTTAGTATTTCTTTTCATTCCTTCTTTCATAAAGAAGCTAAAAAAGTAGCCAGGTGCAGTGGTGCATGCCTGTAATCCAAGTGGTCTGGAGGCTGAGGCAGGAGGATCAGGAGTTCAAAGCCAGCCTCAGCAAAAATGAGGTTCAGTGAGATCCTGTCTTTAAATGAAATACAAAATAGGACTGGGGATGGGGCTCAGTGTTCAAGTGCCCCTGAATTCAATCCTTGGTACCTGCCCCCCCCCAGAAAGAAGCTAAAAAGGATAATTAAAATGAGCAGCACTTTAATTTTAAACAATATACAACTTCATTTTTGTACTGTAAATTCAACATTAAACATGATCTGGTGAGAAATATTTTGAATACTTTCTTTCAAAATAATATTTTATAAAATCTCATTATCATGGGAAGTTTATTATGGATTTTCAGAGGGTAGTCACAAATCTCTTACAAAATCTCTAATACATATTAATTTTGACCAAAATTTTCCATATTTATAAGAATGGCCTATTAGACAAACTATTAACAAATATAACAAAATGGTTTTGTAGTTTTGAACATGTAGTATACTATTAATTTGCTGTACATGACACATTCTATTTATATCACAGTATATGTCTACACCTTCTAGGTTAAATTTAAGATATAAATATTTTATTGGGTTTGAAACATTCATGTTTTTTAAGGTGCCTTGGAACTTTATTGGCATCTACATAGAAAAAAAATAAGTAAGTATTCTGGCATGCATCATTTTCCATATCACTTTTTGAGATTCTTATTTTATTACTAAAATTAATTTAAATAAAACCACTTCAATGATTATGGTACCACTCTTGGTAATATGCCTTTATGTAAAAGAAAAAAAGATTCACTTAGTTTGGCTTCATAATAAGAAAATCAATACCACTGAGTAGTATTAATTAATATTTTAACTTAAAGTCATCATTTTATCTCATTTTATACATAGTCAATTATGTTACATGGTGATGACAGAATATAAAATAATAAAATTTCACTTTATTTTCATCATTCTTTTTTTTAACTATTGTATTATTCTGTCACTATATCATACAATTTAGTATGCATACATCTGTTTATAGCTATGTAGACAAAACAAAATGAGCTGTAGAAACAGGGACCTTATGTACACTTATGTCAAAGTTCTTTTGACACTATTTGCACTGGACAAATTATTGCCCTATTCTTTGATTTTTTTCATTAGTCAATAAACAAAATACGTATTAATAGACATTTCAATTTAGACACCTTGGCATGTAGATATATGAACATACGTAGGTTCTATTAGTTTTAGTAAGTCGTGGCAATTTATAAACACCGGGTTTAGATATGCTTTATGAATGCTATTTTCATTATGTTTTTACTTTTCATAAATTTAATAATAATTTAAGCATGTCCACAGTTCTCAAGCTAACTTTTCAATGTTTTTTTAAATCAAGAATACATACTGTAATCCTGTTGTGACTTGCTTTTGGAACAATCACAAACAGAAACAATTCTAAAACAGTCTTATAAGAGATTTTGACATTACATGAATAGTTAATACTTCATGCTTGTGTACATAAATATGAATATAATAAATCTAAATAGACAAGGAATGTGTGCTTTTGAGAGTTATATATTATGTTGAATTAGATTTTGATGTTCAAGTACTTAAATATCTTTTGAAAGAATTCTGAAATCTTCATGATTAAACTGAATGAGGCTTATATTATTTTCTATAGGCATTGTAATACATGATATAATCGTTTAATAGCTACAAAAATCTTTCAGAACTTTTCCTAATTAACTATTTGATATTGGAATAAATATTCACCCTTTAAAAGGTTATTTTTTTCTGAATCATATAATTTTCTTTAATGTGAAAGTATAATTCACCATGCTTTATCTGATTTATTTATTGCTTATTTACAAAAATGAATCAATTATATTTTTGTACAAATCCTTATATTTCTGTTTATACTACTTAAATTGAAAATTTATGGAAACATTTTATCTCATAAGTTTTTTTAAATGATCTAGTTTTAATGTCAAAATTAATAAGCTGAAAATAACAAATAAAATCATTATTTTTAATATTTTCAAAATGTGATTATTTTTATTTTTCCAATCATATAAACCCAATGATAAGGTGTCACTTTTGAGAATTAAGGTTTTCATATTTAAATTTGGCTAATAAATATATTTATACCAATAGTTAAAGCACAAAACATGTTATCTGAAATTATTTAAAGGAATACATACCTGTACATGTGAAGAATTTAGATTCGCCCACACTAAGCTCTACTTTGCTAAGTGAAATTGTCACTTGAAGAAGAGCTGAAAAACATATTTGAGTAACAATTAATAGTGGTTTTAAATATTAATTGTAACAAATGATGTGTAAACCGCAGGTCCAAAAATACTGATTATTTCCCTTAATTTTTTATTCCAGAAAACGGGAAATGAAAATTTTGGAAAATATAATCTAATGCCAGACTATATGTTATATTATTATGTATTTCATACCATAGCAAATGTAGTATTTATTCAACTTAACATATCAAAATTCTGTTAAATAAAGGACCTAATTCGTATCCATAAAGCTATTTGTCTTTGACAAACTAGCTATACATAATTAGAGTGCGTGATAACTAAAGAAAAATTTGCCCAATAATTAAACCTTTTTAGGAAAGAGCAAATCCTATATTGTTATTGCAATATTAACCAATATAAAAACTAACTACATTTTGACTATCTAGCAAAATATTTCCATGAGAAGAGGCATGCACAGGAAAGGAAGCACTGCACAAGAAAACATAGGTGAGCATCTGTATTCACAAGATAAATAGGAACTGAGATAAGAGGAATAAAACACAGAGGATACTCAGAACATTAAATATAAAATAACTGGATATTCTAGAAATTTATACAATAATCAAAATTTTGTTTTCATACAAAATGATAGATCTATTGCTGATGATATGACAGACAAGAAGTGTGTTCGCTCTCTAGACTCAGCCTCACCATCCCTTTTACTCAGAATGAGCTTTTAGTAATGCAATGGATGTGCAGAAAATAAATGGAGAAAAATATGAAGCTAGAGTACAATCCTATTTGGGAATTAGCAGATCCAATAACCAAAGACTTATTAAGCTCATCACAGAATGCAAAGATACAGAACCTGGGCTTGTCCAGTATAATGAGGTACTTCATAAAAGCAGATGATGAAGGGCTGTGATAAAATCTAAGCTCAATATTCAGAGATAAGAGAACCAGTCACTCTGCTGACAAAGACAGCTGACAAGGAGGCTTGTCTCCATTGACCCGGGTAGGAAGAAGCCATCGCCTCTTAGATTAGTCACAATTCTGTCCTATCCTGGTTTAGGATTTTAATTATAAACATATTCTCTAGAAAACCCCCACCAAAGAAACTAAACAAGAATGCAGTCTCTTGTGGGGCTCAAAGCAAAGTGGCAGACGTAAACATAAATCGATTTGAAGAAAACAATATTTTCAGCCCAGATTGCCCAATAATTTTATAGACAAAGTTTTCTTTAATCTAAACTCACATTCTGATATGAAATGCAAATGATCAAAGAAGGCACTGTAAGCAAGACTACATTGAAACAATTAGTAGGTAAATAGACCCCTTGAAAATTTCAAAGGATATAAAACTTAGACAAGAAATGTAACATACTATGTTAAAAATGCTTAAGGAAATAAACACAGAATCAAAAACATATTAAATGCTAGAAGAAAGTACTTTGAATATTTTCATCATGAAGAAATGATGACTGTTTGAGGAGGAAAGTTAAATGTAATTTAAATATTACACAATGTATACATTTATGGAAATATCACATGGAACAACACAGATACATAAAATTTTGTTTTTACATATCAGTTAAAATAGATTTAATTTTAAATAAAACCCAAGAAAAGTACAAAATACTTTTCAAGAAAGGCCTTGACTTGTATCTTGTTTTAGGTCTTTAAGATGTTTTCTAAAATAAAATAAAATGTTCCTTCATACACACCAACTTCTGTTGTTAAATTCCTTTTCCTTTTTCTAGAAACATTTCTGGGAAATTAAGGCTGGGGTGAATTGGCTTTCTCCTCCCCTCTGAATCTTGTTCATTTTTATTTATAATTTCATAATGCTCAGAGAAAGCTGGGTGCATCTTAGGGGCTCAACCATTGTTCAAGTAAATGCAGTATTTCAGAGAGAAATAGACCAAGAGAAGCCTACATCAGAGAGACTACAAAGGAAACTAGTAGAAACAAGGAAAAGGATGCCTATAAAGCCATTCACAATGCCTACTCCATTGAAAATTCATGAAACAATATTTTTCCTCAAAAATGTAGCTATTCTCTGATGCAGCTGGATTAAGTGGAATGGGCATCAACAGTAGCAAATGTCAGAAAACAAGAAACTAGACAATGTCTTCATGAGTAACTTCATCTTGAGGAGATGGGTAGAGTTATTTGGATCCACAATCTGGGCATTTGACAGGAATTTAATATATTGGAGAAGACTTGAGCAAGTCAATGGATAGAAAGGAAGGAAGGAAAGGAAGTCAGTGTTGAAAGGAAAGGGGAAATTATAATTTCGTGCCTCATTCTCTTTATTTTTTCTACTTATACTTTCTACTATAGACATCTTTTATAATGTGCCATCAACATTTTTATTTTTCAGTATTCATTTTTTTACTGAAATCTAATGCTGTACTCTCCAGCCCTCAGCTTTCAGTTGAATGTGTACTAATTCTATTCAATCTGAACACATTCTGCTTCATCCAAACTTTGGTCACTGCTCATTATTTCCTTTTTGGTCCACTGAATCAATTTCCAACTCTTGAAGATAGGAACTCTGTAAATATCACTTGTTTTTTATACTTTTCTTTTTTTTCCTTTAAAGAAATCTGTTCAATGAATTTAATTCAAAATATTTCATCAGTCACCATATTTTTCCTGACTTTTATCTAAATAACCTTTCTCTTTAAAAAAGTTTCCTGGCTGATACATGCTCATATTTCTTGTAACAAATACTCTTATTGAAAACCTTCAAAGTGGATTTATGTCATCCAATGAGTCAATTATTATTCACATTTAATTGATATAAACTTACCTTTTCCCAGTTTATTTCCAGTTACTTCTCTCCAATTTTTCTGTAGCTATAGCTACTAAGATTGATTCTCACCCTCTCTCCACTGACTCACAGGTTCCTATCATTTTGCATTGGCTCAAATGGTTTTTCTTGCCTTTGTCTCCCTTTTTCACATGTCCACATGGTTAACTATCTCCTATCTTCAAAATAAAACTAAAACATCAATAACTTTTCAAAACAGCTCTGACAGACCCGTCAGTTGCATCAACAAATATCTTTGATCAGTAAGAATTTTTCCTAAACAAATGAGACATTATTGATAATTATATTCCCTTCTCTACCTTCTCTACCTCATTTAAATATAAATTATAGATACCAGGGCTCATCAATCACACTTTTGTTTCTCCTAAATGTAATACAGAGATAAGAGAATAATCAACAAATACATACTATTAGCTTACTATGTGATATATTCACAACATTGTCAGTGACTTCAAGGCCTTTAGTTAATTTAAGGCTATTAGAAAATTTGATCAAATCTGCCAATTATTACTTAAGCAATTTCTATCTCTGACCTTTAGGGTAAATTTGATTGTCTATGGAAGATTTATAAAAAACGATAGAACTTGAAAGATGTAAGCACAGTAACTCAAAGTTCTAGACAATTTTAATACTGATTTTTTGATGGGTGCAATAAATAACATACAATCATTGTAATAAAATGAAATTGAGCATGAAATTAATTAGATAATTTACACTACAATACTTGGATAATTTTTCACTCAGTACAAATTATCAATTTTCCCATTAATCAAGACCATATTTTCAGAGACATTATGATAACTGAATACATTGTTATATTTTATTGCTATGTATATATAAAACTATATAAAGAAAAAAATATCCAGTTTACTATATTTCCTGAAGGCCAGATTGCTCTACTTGACCTCTGCATCTGAAGACATATTAAAACATGTGGATCTTAGTTAAAACCTAGAGCATTAAAATGAGTGGTCATGCTCTGATCATTATTCTAATGATGTAACATCCAGAATTTCTTGTGATCAGTCTCGAGCTATGTCTGCTTACAACAAATGTCAGAATAAAACTAGGCCATTTCCAAGTCAGAAAGATGTGATTGAAGAAAGCTAGAAAGAAATGATACATTTGACATCTATCCATTTTATGTCTCCTCGATCTATAGCATTACAATTTAGATAAGAATATATGAAGGAGATAATGCTATGTGGTCTTTATTTAAGTTAGAACAAATTATTAGGATAGTTGTTTGAAAAAAGTTATACTGATGGTAAAGTTTCTAATTTTGATATTGTACTCTGTATTTGACACTGATATAATACCTTTGACTACGTGTATTTGACATAGATACAATGCCTTTGAAGAAAATTGTGAAGGATGTAATAATACATTAGCTGCATATAATTTCCATAAATGATTAAATGATTGTATTCATTCTTCTTTATAGCTGAGTAATATTCCATTGTTTATATTTACCACAGTCTCTTTTTCCATTCATCCATTGAAAGACAACTAGGTTTTTTCCATAGTTTGGCTATTGTGACCCAGTTAAAAAATGCACAGAAGTGGTGGTGCTTGAAATCTCTGCTATTGTGGAGGCAGGATGAGTGCAAGTTCAAGGGCAGTATCAATAACTTAGTGAGACCCTCAACAACTTAGTAAGACTCTGTCTCAAAATTAAAAAAAATAATAATAAAAAAGAGGACCTGGGATGTAGCTCAGTGGTAGAACACTGTGGATTCAATACCAGGACCAAAAAAGTAAAAGGTGAAAACATAAAATCCTTCAATAAGAAATATATATGATCAGCAGATTAAAAAACATTTACTTTCCTATGTTCATATATGAATCATGACCAGTTTAAGTCCACATCATGTACAACCACAGAAAGCAATCCTAATTAGGAAAAGTTACATTCCAGGAATGTATAATATGTCAAAATACACTCTACTGTCACGTATATCCAAAAAGAACAAATAAAAAAATTTAAAAAGATTGCATTCATTATAAATCAATCAATGTCATTTTTATCAGAGCTGGGATTGAAAAATAATAAACAACAGTAAATATTTTCACAGAAGACTTGTATTTAAGGAAAGATGGAGATTTAATCCCAAAGACTGAAAATTGAAGCCATGATTACTTGTGCTCCGTGAATGATTCTCAAAGAAGTGTATGCAATAATAATCTT